ATTTTTTCCAAGCCAAACACAGTGATGCATGCCTGTAATTCCAGCACATGGGAAACTGAGGCAGGAGAATTGTTGCAGGTTCTGGACCAACCTGGGCTACAAAATGAGCTCAAGCCAGCCTGAGTTGCATAGCAAGCTCCTGTCTGAAAAAGACAAAGAAAAACTTATTACTATTATCTTTTTTTCCTAGCTGGGCATATTCCTGTATTCCTAGCACTGCGGAGGCAGAGACAGGAGGAACACTGAGTTTGAGGCTAGCCTGGGCTATATAAGGAGACTGTCTCAAAAACCAAAAAGTTTTTTTTCTAGCCAAGTGTGGTGGAGTGTACCTGTACTCTAGGCATGGAGGCTAATGAAGGAGGTGGAAAGCTTGGGCCCTACTGGGCAAGCCAGCACTCTGTGAGATCACGAAGAGCCAGGGTTCGATCTCCAGTACTGGAAATTAATAAAGTATATCTAGGATACTACAGTGATGAAACAAGTATTTTAAATATAAATAGGGCAAAACCTACACTATAAAACAATGCTTTTTTTATACTGTGAAGATATTTTTATGCTTTAAACACTGGTGGTTTTTTTGTTTGTTTTTTCGTATTTTTTTAAGGGAAGGGTCTACAGGGTGTTCAGGGTCTCATGACTAGACTGGACTGGTAATGATCCGCCTGTTTACAGCCTCTTAAGAGCTGGGATTACAGGCATGTGCCACCATGTCCAATCTCAATTAATGTCTCAGCGCACCCTGGGGGCAGGGCCTGCATGGCAGGCCCAGGGATTGAACCCTCAGCCCCTGCACTTGCTTGCAGGCACTTTAATAGCTGCTGAGCTATTTGGCCAGCCCTATTTCTATGCTTTAAAAGATCATGCCTCATGTTAAATACTAACAAAAATAATGTATCTTGCTCCAAATTGTGGCAGCAATTTGAAAACTTTGTTGTACTATTTTGCAAATCATTATAGAACCTAATTTTTAAAAAAGGTGTAACTAGGTACGTGAAAGGTAATTGTAAAAGAGCCCGGGATAGATAAGCATGGTGGTACGCTTCTGCAATCCAACTTCTCATGAGGCTGAAGCAGAAGGGTTACAAATTTGAGGCCAGCCTGACAAACACAGGAAGACCTGGTCTCAAAATAGAAAAGAAAAAGAGAAAAGGCACAGG